TTCAAAGCACTCTAGATTGATTTTTATTATGATGCATTTTCTGATGACGAAACGTCAAAAGGTCAATTTGAGGATGCTGTCTGACTCAGAATTTTCTCAAGATTCCAAATATGTAAAAATATATAGGGTATTCCATTTAAAAATCGAAAGTTGGTATCATTTCCGGCCAAACCAAAAATAAATTGTATAACATTGTTGTTTAATTAAATTTAATTAAGTTTTAATAGTTTTGCTAAAATTTGAAACAACAAGTTGCAACATGCAGAGGATTACACGTACCTAATACATAACACGTTCAACGACGCGTCGCGACGCGTCGCACTATGGTAAAAAAGCAGCGTTTTGCGTAAAAACTTCAATAACTTTTTTATTACAAATAAATATTAATTTTTTCTTTTTTTAATTTGTTAAATATGAGTTATTACGTATAATTAACCATTTTTAATAGAAAATTGTAAAGGTTTTTATTTTTTAAATGCGTTTTTAGATTATCATAAAGCACTGTTTTGCAGAAATAATTCACAAACTTTTTTATTAAATATAAATATATTTTTTTTCTTTTTGACTGTATCATTGAGTAAAGAAGTGGTACCCAACTTCCTTACTCAATGACTGTATTATATAAGGATTATTACGTATAAATAACTATGTTTCAATAAAAAAATAAAGGTTTTTCATTTTTATGGAACGCCAAAGTATTTTTTAATCGTCAATTAAAAATATCACATTTGAATTTGCGATATCACAAATTCAATTTCTGATATCACAAATTCAATTTCTGATATCAGAAATTAATTTGTGATATCAAAAATTAATTTTCGATATCACAAATTAATTTTCGATATCGCAAATTAATTTCTGATATCAGAAATTAATTTGCGATATCGAAAATGTCTTAAAAAAATTAACAACTTATTAAATAAAAATGTATTTTTTGTAATCCATATTATTTGTAATTCATACAATTAAGAAATAACATTAAAATTTTAAGTTTATTTAAATTATTGATCCGGGTATATAATTAAATTATAAACATTTTTCAGTTGATAATTTATCTGAATTCTTAAGTAAGCCTAATATTTTTAATTCTAAATAAAAAGTTTCGTGACAATTTTTTAATACTACATACCAATATATTGAACATATTTTTTAATGAAATCTTTTTTTTAATTCGCCAATAAATCGATATTTTTAAATCAAAGTGATATTTTTAATTCGAATTATTTGGACAGCCCTAAAAAATTAACAAGTTAATAAATAAAATGTATTTTTTCTAATTCATATTATTCTTAATTTATACAAGTAGGAAATAACATTACAAATTTAGGTTTATTTAAATTATTGATCTGGGTATATAATTAAATTGTAAACATTTTTCAGTTGATAATTCACCTGAATTCACCTGAATTCTTAATTCCGAATAAAAAGTTTCGTGACAATTTTTTAATACCACATACAAATATATTGAACATGTTTTTTAATGGAATCTTTTTTTTAATTCGCCAATAAATCGATATTTTTAAATCAAAGTGATATTTTTAATTCGAATGATTTGGTCAGCCCTAAAAAATTAACAAGTTAATAAATAAAATGTATTTTTTCTAATCCATATTATTTTTAATTCATACAATTAAGAAATAACATTAAAAATTTAGGTTTATTTAAATTATTGATCCGGGTATATAATTAAATTGTAAACATTTTTCAGTTGATAATTCAACTGAATTTTCAAGTAAGCCAAATATGTTTAATTCCGAATAAAAAGTTTCGTGACAATTTTTTAATACCACATACAAATATATTGAACATGTTTTTTAATGGAATCTTTTTTTTAATTCGCCAATAAATCGATATTTATAAATCAAAGTGATATTTTTAATTCGAATGATTTGGACAGCCCTATTCGGAGGGTTGCCTACATACATCACGTAGTGCCAACCAAAGTCACTAAAAAAGTTACTAGAGAAGTTTGACAGACAAAACAACAAAACAAATATAAAAGTAATGAAATGTCCGCTTTTTGGGTAACCCATGACCAGTAGCGTGCCGTGGGTCTAAGGGCGGAGGGGGCGAACTTTCTTAAAAACAAAATATTTTTTATTTGATACAAAATTGTCAACTAATTAGGTTGCCAAATGCGGTCTGCGCAGAAGGGAAACCCAGCTTTACGACAGGAACGCCAACCGTGAGCGCCAACACCAACTAAAGGTTCTTCTTCTTCTTATTTCTAGTGTCAAAGGGTACTGTAAGTTTCATCGGAAATGTTGTGCCTAATTCTGGATAAATTGTCCAATGAAACATTGAGTTCGGAACGGGTATTGTCATTCCCTAAAGTGTCTACTTCATAATTACGACACGCACTGCTAATTACAGCCCTGATTCGATTTAGTACTGTACCAATACGCTGGTCCATTGTCTTATTTTATAAACTTCACACTAAAATTTCACATTTTCACAGATTATAAAGGTTGTTGTTTTGTCTGTCAAACTTCTCTAGTAACTTTGGTTGGCACTACATGATGTATGTAGGCAACCCTTCGAGTAGGGCTGTCCAAATCATTCGAATTAAAAATATCACTTTGATTTATAAATATCGATTTATTGGCGAATTAAAAAAAAGATTTCATTTAAAAACATGTTCAATATATTTGTATTTGGTATTAAAAAATTGGCTTATTTGAGAATTCAGTTGAATTATCAACTGAAAAATGTTTACAATTTAATTATATACCCGGATCAATAATTTAAATAAACCTAAATTTTTAATGTTATTTCTTAATCGTATAAATTAAAAATAATATGGATTAAAAAAAATACATTTTATTTATTAACTTGTTAATTTTTTAGGACTGTCCAAATAATTTGAATTAAAAATATCATTTTGATTTAAAAATATCGATTTATTGGCGAATTAAAAAAAAGATTTCAATAAAAAACATGTTCAATATATTTGCATGTGGTATTAAAAAATTGTCACAAAACTTTTTATTCGGAATTAAACATATAAGGCTTACTTAAGAATTCAGGTGAATTATCAACTGAAAAATATTTACAATTTAATTATATACCCAGATCAATAATTTAAATAAACCTTAATTTTTATTGTTATTTCCTACTTGTATGAATTAAAAATAATATGAATTAGAAAAAATACATTTTATTTATTAACTTGTTAATTTTTTAGGGCTGTCTTAATAATTCGAATTAAAAATATCACTTTGATTTAAAAATATCGATTTATTGGCGAATTAAAAAAAAGATTTCATTAAAAAATATGTTCAATATATTGGTATGTAGTATTAAAAAATTGTCACGAAAGTTTTTATTTAGAATTAAAAATATTATGCTTACTTAAGAATTCAGGTAAATTATTAACTGAAAAATTTTTACAATTTAATTATATACCCGGATCAATAATTTAAATAAACTTAAAATTTTAATGTTATTTCTTAATTGTATGAATTACAAATAATATGGATTAGAAAAAATACATTTTTATTTAATAAGTTGTTAATTTTTTTAAGACATTTTCGATATCGCAAATTAATTTCTGATATCAGGAATTAATTTGCGATATCGAAAATTAATTTGTGATATCGAAAATTAATTTTTGATATCACAAATTAATTTCTGATATCAGAAATTGAATTTGTGATATCAGAAATTGAATTTGTGATATCGCAAATTCAAATGTGATATTTTTAATTGACGATTAAAAAATACTTTGGCGTTCCATACATTTTTAAATGCCTTTTAGATCTTCATAGAGCGTCAATTGCGGAAATAACCCAATTATTTTTTTATTGCAAAAAAATATTAATTTTTACTTTGTTAAATAAACATAACGGTTTTTATTTTTTAAATGCGTTTTAGATGATCCTAGAGCATCAATTGAGGAAATAATCAAAAAACCTTTTTATTGCAAAGAAATATTTATTTTTTTATTTTTTACTGTGTAAAATAAGACTTAATAGGTATATATAACTATATTTTAATAAAAAAATAAAGGTCTTTATTTTGCCTTTTTAGATGTTCGCCGTAAAAAGATTACAAAAATAATTCAATAACTTTTTTATTGTAAATAAATACATATTTTTTTAACTATCTTAAGCACACTTTAAGAAATAAATAAACATAATTTGAATTTTTACATTTACTCCATTTATAATTCCTTAACTTCTTCATCAAGCATATATTTTACAAATTTTGTATTTCTCCTATAAGTAACGTTATTAGGGGGTCAGACGATATTAAAAGACGATAAAATATATCCTCGTTTTTTTATTTTTAACTTGTTTTTCTCGAAAACATATATCGAATTTTTTTAAAATCCTTATTTTTAGAATCTTGAGCTTCCTCAGGGGATTATTAATTAATTTATACAATATTTTTCCTTTAAGATACCTACAAATTAATACATAATAATTTGTTATATGTAAACCATTTTGTACTCTAATAAGTGGTATTTTATATCCTAATTAACCATGGTAAATTTCATGTGTCTATCTTTATAAATAAAAAAGTTACAGGGGTGCGCCTGTTCTCAGATACACCCGGTATATATTTTTTTTTCGTGAATTGATTAATAAAGCAAAATTTTTTGTAAAACTTCTTTTTATTTAAGTTCCCAATTTCCAACAAATACTGTTGTTACTGGGTATACAAAAAGGTTTGTAAAAATAAGGTCCTTTTTGAAAATTACAAGAATTATGGTATTCAACATTATTGAAATAGCATTTTGTCATTAAATTGTCTGTTGTATAATTATTACAAACTACTTATTTAATTAGTTAACAGATTACAGTTGGTTGTAAACTTAACATAAAGTTATATAAATCTGGTTAATATTTGGTTAAAATTAACAAATATTTTGTTTACTGTTACTAATATTGAAATAGCAAAAACTTGGTACCACTAAAACTAAAGCCGGCACTGACAGCGGCAGCAACAGGTTCCCCTACTTTCTAAACACACAAACAATACAGCAGTACTGGATGCCGCCGAGACTGAGGACAGGTAAAAGTGGGAGTACCACAAGCTCCAACTCAGGTGTGTTATGCACTACGTCCGCATTAACCATAATGAAGCGTGCTGTGTGAGTGGCCATTTTCCCCGAACAGAAATGTCATAGGTGTTTTTGGTGTGACAAAGTTATAGTTAAAGTGCAAGCACAATGGGTTCCAAAATTGAGTATGTCGACTCCTCGCAAATCTACGCTACGAGTTATGTGAGAAACTCCAAAGCCATAGGAGTGTTATGGGCGATATTCACGATATGTTACGCGATTATTGGGGTTGTTTCGTTTATAACACCAGAGTGGATCGGAGATGTACAGGGCGAATCCCCAGGGAAGTTCGGGTTATGGTCAATGTGCTACGCTGAAGAAACTGGAGAGCAATGCAAGGGCCGATTGGACGACTTCATGGGAATACCTGGGTATGCTTTTAAAGCCGCCACTGTGGCTATCGGTTTGGCATGCATAACCGCACTTTTGACTATTTGTGCCATGATTTTGTTTTTCTTCTGTCACTCGACCACGGTGTTTCACATTTGCGCATGGATGCAGCTCTTGTCTGGTAAGTTTTAGAAGAGTTAGATATTGTTGAAACATTTGGGTCATATCAATTGGTGGCTTATCACGTTTGACTACCTGTATGCAAGGTTTTTGAGTTATCTTAGTTATGAATAATTCAAAATTTATTTGTGTACATTATCCTTGCTTAGAAAGGTTTTTTGGTGTATACTTATAATTGATATTGGTACTACTGCCTATGGCAGAAATGAAGAGAATTTAGGTCATTGAATAATAATGTTACCTACAAAGATAAACCTACGTTCTTCAATTAATAATTCTTAAAATTAATTTATAAAAAATTTAAACAATATTTTGGTTATCATAAAATTAACAAATTGTCCCACGTGGATGTTCCAAAAACTAAATATACAATATTATGATGATCTTAATTTTATATTTTCGTATTGATGATACTGTAAAATAGAACATATTAACCATTAATTGCAAAACGAAATAGTTATTATTAAATTATAACAAAATATCGTTGTTTTAACATTCCTGTTGGTCGACAACCAGTATATAACCTATACATACTAATTTTGCAAATGGTGATATGAAATCTTATTAAATATTTAAATGTCACTTGATTTCTATTTTTAAATGGTCTTGTAAGAAATTTATTGCTAAACTTGGCATATTTAGAAGCATGTTCTGTGTTTCATGTGTGGTGGTTTCAAAAAAAATCTATGGATTTCAAATTTGTCCAAAACTACCTTAAATGTTATATGTTAACGAAGCTACCACCAAAATTCCAAATTCGAATATTTAATCATTTCTATGTCCAGGTAATATGTTTGACAAAAACCCTTATGTTTAAAACAAAGAGCTCGAAAGTACATGTCCTTGTTTTTTCATGTTTTACATTTTCCAAAAACCCAAATGATACAAATATTACTCCCCCGCAGCCATCTTTTTTGGAGGAAGGTTGTTTTGTATTATATATCGACCTGTCACTCCAACTATGTTTAACAGCACCATATATACCATGTATATCATCATACAAGGTGGCCTAACGAAAAAATCCCAGGAGTTTTTGGGTAGTAAGCTGTAATTTTTTTAAACACCCAACACATACAATATTTTGCTATATATTTCACTTCACTCCTTCGCGGAGTGGTAAAAACCACTAAAATTGTAATAGACACAAGTAATACCCCTTTTGAAAAGTCTTGCTCCACTGAGTATTATAAAAAAATTGTTAAATTCTATTAATTTATTTTCAAAATATTTAAAATTAAAGTTACAACAGCACAAGTTTCTTATTTAAACAAACAAGTACAGATAAGGGCACTTAACCTAAACGGTGGGAGAGACTACTATCTATCAACAGTGGTTTCTTAGTCTCTCTCACCTTTACTGTTTCATTTTCCCGTTCCTGTTCCCGTTACCGGGATATTGTGCAGCGGGCTTTAGAGTCCTGGGATTGTTTCTTTAAATTTTTGATTTCGTGCAGCCTTAAACCGTTGATAAGATTTCTTCAATCAACGCTGAAACTAAAGAAATGCATGTTTTGAAATTACTCGCGCAATAAGTCGATATAATGCCAGCAATGTGGCGAGTCTCATCAACTTGGTAAAAATTCAGGTCATCCAGAGATTTATTATTAAATTTTTTGAAAAAATAATGCGTTAACATCGACTAATAACGTTTTCTTTTCACGCTAACGCTTTTTCTTTTCTCTAGAAAATACTATTTTCTGTACGAAGTGGTCTTCAAATAGATTGAACAAAATTACAATTTAGAGAATAGTTTTTAGCCATTTTTAAACATTATGGTACATGGTGGTGGAATAAAATAATCTTTTGTAAAACACACCCCTACACACCCTACACAAACACAAAAAACAGCAAAGATCAAATATTTCTTTTCTAACATGTTCCCATGATTTGACACATATAAGTTATTAAATATTAAATGTCAATCAAATGGGTATTTTTTTATAATTTGTTTTTTAAATGTTTTGTTTTCCTACATTTTTAGATTTTTTAAATTATGTGAATCCTTTTTCTTCTTTTTATATTTACCCACGAAAACTGAAGTACAAACCGATATGAAGGGGGTGAGGCAAAAAGCGTCTGCAATGATAAAGTTTCTTAGTGCGCCATGGACGATTTAATTTGAAACACATGAAAAACGTCATACGTCATACCTGATTGTGATTAGAGATGTGTCGGTCAGATCTGAACCGGCTCAGTGAACCGGGTCGTATAAGTGATCTACGTGAACCGGTTCACGAAAATTAAACGAACCGGCTCACGGGTCCGAAATTACAAAGCAGAGAACTGTGTTTGGCTAGCGGCCGCGCGCAAGCCGTTCTAAGCTCTGATTCACTGCTTCAGCGCTCGCTATGCTGCTGCAGTGCATTGCACAGGCCGCGCATGGCGAGCCGCTCGGTTCACGTAGATCACTTATACGATCCCGTTCACTGAGCCGGTTCAGATCTGACCGACACATCTCTAACCGTGAGTGTTGCCAGTGGTTGGAAAGATAAAGTACCAAATTCGACTTTTAAAATGTACCAAATTTCACTGAAATGTACTTCTCATTTAAATGCTTTAAACAAATACGTTTTTGGGCTTTTCGTTTTTTCCCCAAAATTAAAGCCCGCTGCACAATAGCCCGGTAACGGGAACGGGAATCTTACCATTAAAGGTGGGAGATACTAAAAATCACTGTTGATAAATAAATCTCTCCCACCTTTATATGAAAATAAAACGAATAAATATAGGCGATTTTAATAACGCTATTGTAAGACCGCGAACTAAGAGAAACAAAGCAGCAACTTTATTAAAAATAGGCAAAATATTAAAAGTATATCAAAATTCAAAAATTTCATGAAAATGTACCAAAATAGTCCTTGTAGTACCTCTGTACCACCAAAGCACCAAACGTACCAAAAAGGTACAAATGTACCACCTCTGGGAACACTGGGCGAGCCGCTCGAGCCGAGAGCGGCGGGTCGCGAGAGATCTGAACCGGCTCCCTGGAGCTAAGAACGACTCGCGCTCGCAGTACGTTTTGTTTTCTGTGATCCAGATCTGACCAAAACATCTCGATTCTCTAGGCGCGGCTCGATCATGACTGTTGTATCATGCAGCTCGCTAGTGCCTATGCCGGTCGGATCGTTCGGGACCGAATTCTTGCGTTCTGTGTTCTGTGACGCGTTACTACGTTAGGCAAATTTATACTTTTGGTAATTTTTTACAAACTCACAGAAATATGAGATGATTTCCCTTATGTCATTGTCGATTAAAATATAATTTTAATATTAATTAATTTAAATTGTGTAACTTTTCATGTAAGATTAAAATAATAGAGTTTTTATTGCTTTATAAAATTTAATTTAATGCAATACAATGTAATATTAAATAGCCTTTATTATATATATAAGAGCGACCCTCTCAAATGTTTTTATTTAATATAAAGAAAATCCTCACCAAATATGGGCGTTCCAGCTCAACTGTAAGAGGTCGCTGTTTTTATTTTAGTTTCTCATTGAATTGACATGGGAAAAAATTAATTTATGTTTGGAATTTTATACCTCTGTATCAAAGTAACTTATGGCAATGATCATTGCAGTTTCTTATATAAAATTTAACGCTCTACAAAAAAGGTTTCTTATTATTTTTCGATAAATTGATTTCTTCTAGAGTTATTCGAGGTGAAAGTTTGATTAACATCAAATTTACTGGTTTTTTTAATTTTATGGTACAATTAGCAGACGGGAGGTGAAAGGGGGCAAAACAATGCAACGGGGGACAAAATGGGATACCCAAAAAATTTCGTGAAAAAATATTTTTTTCAGATTGTTTTTTTCGGTTTCTAAATTATTTGAAAATTGACTCACAAGTTCACGCTTTTAATCGAAAATAATTATTCTGAGCCTGTAGAGCGAGAAAAAGGATGGTACAAGTTTGGAAAACTTTTCATATGCTCATTTTTTGGGTACCCCATTTTGCCCCTTCCCCCCGCTGCCTTGTTTTGCCCCCTTTCACTTCCCGTCTGCTAATTATACCATAAAATTAAAAAAAAAAAAAGAAAATTTAATGTTAATCAAACTTTGACGTCGAATAACTCTAGAAGAAATCAATTTATCGAAAAATAATAAGAGACCTTTTTTGTAGAGCAATAAATTTTATATAAGAAACTGCAATGATCTTTGCCATAAGTTACTTTGATACAGAGGTATAAAATTCCAAACATAAATTAATTTTTTCCCATGTTAATTCAATGGGAAACTAAAATAAAAACAGCGACCTCTTAGAGTTGAGCTGGAACGCCCATATTTGGTGAGGATTTTTTTTATATTAAATAAAAACATTCGAGAGGGTAAGAGTGAAAAAAATTTTTTTTTGAAGCACCCTAATATATATATAATATAATAAAGGCTCCTAAATATTAAAGTGATAAACATTTTTAACATAAACATAAAGTTTATGTGATCCGAATGATTTCATTAAGTGTTATTTTTAATTAATCTGAGATTCAAACGGTTCTGTTGAACCGGTTCACTTATGTGATCCAGATCCAGTGATCCGGTTCAAAAGAGTGACCCGGAACGCCCATCACTAATTGTGATTTGCCCTAATCAGATTGGGTTTGTGCACAATGCAGTGCGCACTGCAGTTTTGATTTTTCTGTGCCGACATATTTTCTGTCATAAAATATTTGTTAAACAAAGAAAGTTTGTACTCTAGTCTTTGTGTATTTAGCCAATTCATGTTTGACATTCCTACTAATTTTTTAAAAACTTTTTTAATTATTTTGTATTTTTTTACATTGTTGCTGTGTTTATGGTGCCTTTTGTATTAAAATAAAAAATATTTATAAAATCTGCTGTTTTTTAAATCAAATGTAATAAATTAAAATTTTGTTTTAGCGAGTTGGTACCTACCTTTCGCTATTTGTGCAAAATGCGAAAACGAGCCTGCTTTAACCAGGCGAAGTGAAATTATGAATAAAACTTAACATTTACAAATTTAAAACAACATGTTAATCAAA